GTAATCTTTGGAGATTTGTCAGCAAGGCACTGGCAAAGAGCAGTTCTGATGAGAATTCTAGAGTGCATAAGGTCCCAGCACATGTAGCATAGTGGCACACATCCTCTACACAAAATGTCACACTTAGGACTGACTTGGTTACAGTGGGCATGTCTACACAAGAAGCTTTACTTGAGATTAGAGCAAATCACAGCACAGTAAATGTCACCGTCTACTGTAAATACAAGTAGCAAATTTACTTGTGAGTAATTACTGTTCAGTACAGCATGTGTTGACGGCTGACTGGGAGCAAATTTCCTCCCAATGATCTGGGCAGCAGGTGGCAGGAGATTACTTCCTGCCCCCAGGAGCTGCCTGCTGCCAGGGTGGGCTCCACCACCAGAGCCCAGGTGGACAATGTCCCCCTGCCCTGGCAGCAAGAGCTTCCAGTCCCTGCTCCACAATCACAGAGTGGGGACTAGGAACAAGCTCCCAGCCCCGGCTCTGCAATCGTGATCAGGGAGTTTTTCCCTGCACGGGGAGAGTTCCCCACCCACCCTGGAGCTGGCTGGGACATGCCCCTGACCGGGACAGATCCCGGCCAGGCCTGAGCTATAGAGGGAGGTCTGCATATGCAGCCTAGAGGTGGTTGGGGACTGTCCCATTTTGGGCAGTCCCCAGCCAGCTCTGGGCTGCACGTTCAGACTTCCCTATGCAGCCTGGGGCTGGCCTGGAACTGTTCCGGTCAGAAGCAGGTCCTACCCCCATGCCCTGATTGGGTGATCGAGGTGAGAGCTTGGAAAGAGCTGCAGTGGAAGGGCAGGTCCCAGCCCCATGCCCTGATCCACCAGTGGAGAAGCTACCAGTGAGCCTCCGGCTGGGTGGGGAAACTCTGCCAGCTAGGGGCTTGCTGCTAGCTGCACTACCAGCAGATCAGGGACAGGGCACTAGGATCTGTCCCTCCCCTGCAGCTCTTTCTAAGCCCTCTGCCCCCAACTGGGGAGCTGGGGCTGAGTGCTCCATGCTGCTGGGGCAGGGGGACATTGTCCCTATCCAGACTCTGGTGGTGGAGCCCAACTTGGCAGCAGGCAGCTCCTGGGGGCAGGGAGCAATGTCCCAGCCCCCACAATGAGACAGCTGTCTCCTGGCTCTGTGCTCCTTGGCAGCCCCTGGGCTAGCATGCAGGGAGAGCCTAGAGCCTCTCCTGTCTGCTGCAGGGCTGGAGGGGGCAGGATCAGACGTGTTGATGCCTGCCTGGGGTGGGTTTACTCTAGAGTAATTTACTCCACAGTAAACCCAGCCTGCAGCATTTGCACATATATACATGCCCAGTGTTATTTCCAGAATTAATGTAACCCTCTGTTAGCATATGGCTCTGCAGGCTGGATGCACTCACAGGCTGGGACAGAAATTACACATAAACTGGTATAAGTGGTTGGAAACTGGTCCAAATCTGTAACACAATAGAAGTTTCGTGCACATAAACCAATTTTAAAATGGCCAAAACCAGTATAAGATAAACCTGGATAGATGTAGTATCAGACTAAACTGATTTATGTTAAACCGGTTTATTGAACTTCTTTCCCAGATCCCCTCCGGATTCAAGTTAACTTACAATCCCCCAGCATCCCAGAATGCTTTGCACCTCCCCTGCAAGCCCCACTTCCAGGTTGGGTGGGCTGGCCTTGGCCCAAGCTGTCTGCTCCAGTCAAGGGGGGATGTGTACTCTAGCACCCTCTGGCTTCTAGCCTGGGCCACTGCAAGCATGTGGCTGCATTTCCAGAATCAAAAGTGAAGTTTTGTTCACTTGCTTATTGGTTTAATCTGCGCAGCTTAGACTAACCTGTGAAGACTGAATCAATTCAGCCTCGGGCTTTTTGACTGTCTGTACTTAGCCTTAAAGATGGGTCATCTGGCCGTCTATTTTCTCAAGGGGTTGATATGGAAGAGTAAGGCAGGAGTAGCCCACTTGTGGGGTTTGTGTCCCCTCATCTGTCCAGAATGATTTGGGGGTGGGGCACTGTCCCACTGCATCCACGGCTGAATTTACTGTTCCTCGTTACCAGTGGCCTTGGAATCAGCATCACTTAGGGACAGGTGAGTGGAGCTGCAGCTGCAGTCAGGGCTGTACCTGTGCCTTTCCCCACAGAATGTGAGACTGACAAGGAGATGTGAATCCATGTTAACCCAGAGATGTAGTAAGTAGAGCTTGTGCCCTGGGCAAACCTTGCAGGAGAGCAGGGGCAGGAGAGGCCAAGAATGAGCATCAGAGGTGTTGGGGTTCCAAGAGTGGTGGGGAGGCACTGGAGTTTTGCCTATGCCAGAGACTCAAAAACAGTTCCCAACTTTTGCTACTGCTGCAGCAGCTGTCGCCACATGGTTTGCCTGCCCTGGCTGTTCCTTTTACAGGAGAAGTGCAATGTCTGTGCACCCAGCTGCTGCTGCTGCAGGAGCAATGCTGTTGGGCTGCTCTTGCTGCCGGGGCATGGACTCCCCAGGGGTGGGGATGATTCTAGTGCCTATCCTAAGTTGGTGCTCGGGGCTGATGCCCTGCTTACCCACCCCAAGTTATGCTACTGTATTAACTCCTTGGCTGTTGGCCATGCTGACACCTTCCTCCTGCAGCAGCATTTCTGGCCATGGTGATGGGGTGTCTTGCTGCAGCTGAGAGTCCTGGCAAAAGCCAGACCTCTGGCAGCACTGTGTGCAGGGTCCACTGTGGTCACAGTAGGCAGTTGTCTGAAGGCACTTGCAGACAAGCCCCTAGTGGAATTACGGAAATGTCTAAGCAGGAAAGGAGCTGTTGTTAATCCAGCTAAGAACTGATCCTTAAAGGTATCCAGGAGGCAGGCCCAAATCAATCCAAACTTGATGCCAAAGGACTTACACACAGAGTGGAGGTAATCACATCACAGAAAGCAATTCAGGTTAGCCTTACTCTGGTGGCCGCAAAATCATACAGGAAGAGCACACACCAACTGCAGATGCTTCCTTAGCTTGACAAAGGGTTTTTAAACCCAAAAGCTTACTGAGAAAATGTTTTCCAACTATTTAGTTGGTCTAATAAAAGACATCAGATTTACCCAAAGAACCTTGTCTGCCTTGGGTTTCAGAATTCATTCATTGGTGACATTTTGTTCTGCAAAGATCACCAGGCACCTAAACTGAGGTTTCTGAGCATGTACAGAAGTACGTCCTTTTGAACAGCTACATGCCTGACTCCCACTTCAATTCTGCTACAATCCAGTATAGAACAAGGAAAACATTTACAAACAGCTACGCCCTGATACAGGCTGGATCCATGAGGAGTACTCAGGGCCTGCCTAACTCACACCAAGAGCACTGAGGTCAATATGGAGCACAGAGCCTATACTCACTGTCACTTGAAAAAGAGAAGAGCGATACCCACATTTTATGTGGTTACAGCACTTGTTCAGGAAATGGGAGACCCAGGTTCTTAGGCCAGTGATTCTCAGTCAGGGTGCTTCAGTGTCCTGAGGTGCCATGAGATCCTTTTAAGGCTGCTGCAAGGTGCTATACAATATTAGTACTGTTAGGTATGCAAGCACCTCCACATGATTCCCAAGATAAATGCAGAGATTTCAAATAGGAATCTATTGTGTTGAAAATATTTTGGCCCATTGTGGTCTTTCTGAATTCTCTGTTATAGAGGAATTGCTGTAGTATTTTTCTGTACCCCAAAAAGACACAAAACCTAAGACCTGGCATTTTACAACGAGTGCCTAGAGTTTAACAAGATTGGGACCCACTGCCCTAGGTCCTCCTCAGCTAAAGGGACTGAAATCTGTATCTCCCATGACGAGATCCTGACAGCCAGGCAATAGATCATGTTGGGTAGACAAGGGGAATCACCTTCCCCATTTCTTGCTGATGGGGCTGGGCCAAAGGGCAGAATGGGATGTGAGAGTCCTGGCACCAGAAGGAGCCTAACCCTGCAGCCTGGTGTGCACTCCCTAGAAGAGGGACTGGCTCTCAGGATTCCTTATACATTTTCCATTGAAGAGTCATTGAATAAAATACATACATAGCATGGGAACAAGGAACCCAGGTCTTCCCTCTCTTAGGGAGGGCCCTCATTAGTAAGCTAAAGTCAGGCCTGCCCTCGTTGCTGTCCTCCTGCCCCCATGACTCTTACGTTCTTGACTGCACAGTGGCCCAATGTCTTCAACAGGAGGAGCAGAGGGTGATTCTGTCCAGGATGTGGGGGTTAGGGCAGTCTCCAAGGAAGTGGGAGTTTGATTCCTCTCAGGATTAGGTTGGGTTAAAAAGCTGCACCTCTTATTTCTAAGTGGTCTAGCCATCAGACTCTCCTGCCAAAGATGGGCATTGGAACCATTGCTGGTCAAAGGCATATACTCTTCTGTGTGCTATGGATCTTGAATTGATGGGTATACCTAAGGTCTGAGCAGGGATGGGAATTTAGACACATCCATCTTCAGTATCTACAGTGGGTGAGATCTAGGTGCCTCCCTGCTCAGCTTCTAAGCCCTCTGGATCTCCCTGTGGAGGTGTCTAACTTTTCCCATGGATTTTCCTCTTAGAGCAAGGCATCTATTCTTAGGCACAATTGAAGCCTGAATGGAGGCACCTACAAGGCTAATCTGGATTTGGCCCTCTGTGCTTAACTCCCACCATAAATGGTTTTCTCAATCTGGACAATCTGTAATGTTAAGCAACTAAATGCCTTTGTAAATTCAGCCCTAGGCTCCCTAACTAGGTGAATCATTTTAAATGAATGTGGTTTATATTTCCTTCAGTTATTTGTCACTATTCATACCATCTAACTGTTGTCTAGTGTTCACACATTCACTTGGCCCTCTGGATTAACTCATCATTTCGTTTCCTTTGTGTGTCTGACAGTCAGAGACGAGGTCAGTAGGGACCAGGAAAGGGTGTTTATTTACCTGAGCGAGGAAAGGGTGTGTTCAGATGTAATGCAGAGCATAGGCAGAAATTTCTAAAGGCAGTGGTGAGCCAGCTCGTCATTCTAGGTGGGGAGGATGGGCAGAGTTAGAAAGAGGAAATAAAGACAGGCTGGAGATGAAAGTTCAAGCTTGCTGCCTGACTTAACCCATTTGCTAGTCACTTCTCAGTACAGCTATTTAGCAGGTATAGAGGAAGACATTTTGGGGAAGGTAAAGAGAGTCCATAAGGCAAATGAAGCGACCTGAGCTGTTCATTTTCAGCCTAGGTGAGTACTTTTTGAGTTGCGTTGTTAGGGGATGGGAAGAGGGACAGGCATGTTAAAAAGTAAAATGCTCCAGGGATTTGTGTGTATGCTTGTTTCTCCCTCTTGTTAAGCACAGGCCCTTGTGTACTTATGGCTGGCAGGTAGAGTGACTGCTACTCCATATTGCAATTCCATACCATTTCAGGGGCAGGAAGGGAATTAGATTTTAAAACCACTTTTATATGGTATTTATAACTGTTTTAAGTCCTTTGTCCCTGCAAAAAAGTGGAATGGGAAAATCTATAAGTCTTACTGTGTGTGCGCGTGTATAGATAGATATACATAGACATATATATATATAGAGTTATATAGACATAGATAGATAGATAGATAGATAGATAGATAGATACGCGTAATCTATCTATCTATATGGAGAGATTTTCTAACTCATGATGTAGATCTATCAACTTCTCTAAACTCAATAGCTTGATCTTGCCCTTTATCATAGCCCTTGCCATTGTTCTGTTATGGCTTCCCTTCATGTTTCTCTGCATTCCTGGTTACATTGGCCTTGACTCGCCTTACACAAATGTCTTCATGCCTTCCTCAGGCCATCTCCTCAGCCTCAAACCCTCTCCCCAAACCTACTCCCTTAAGCATCACCTTTGCCTCATTCAAAATCCTCTGAAAACCCCTGTAAAGTAAAGGCTGGGGGAAGGGAATGGTCAGTACTTAGCTAAATGTCATTTAAAAAAATTCTGTTCCTCAGAAGCAGATGCAGATTAAGTCACCGGGTGATCTTATTTATGCGACTTGTCTAACCCTATCTTAGTATATCAGTTCTCTTTTGTTTCTTCCTATATTCACTTCTTGGGTCTTATGTAAATTCTAATTGTGAGCAATAGCCCCTGAATTTTATTTTAATGGACCCTGAATTTTAACAGTATTATGAAAGCACTGGCCTTTGAGAGATGTTTAGAGCAGTGGTTCTCAACCTGTTTGTACCAGGATCCTTTTGTAAACATCGATGGCCTGTCTCGATCCAGTGCCCCTCACTCCTGACCCACCGCCCTCTGTCCCCAGGCCTGAGCCCCCAGTGTGTGGGGCAGAGGGTGGTATGTGTGGGGTCTGGGGGGCCCCAAGCAGCTGCTTAAAGCCACAGTTTTCCACATTTTTCTCCTTTAAAAGCAAATCCATTTTAAAAGCTTGTTGATCCATTTTTACAGTTCGTCCACGACCCTTTCATACATTCTTGTGACCCACTTTTGGGTCACAACCCACAGGTTGAGAAATGCTGGTTTAAAGAATGGTTTGAAGCCACTAGACAAGTGCAGCATACCTGAGATGAGAATGACACTGGAGAATGCTAAGCAGCAGGGTGCATTAGCCCATATGGAGCTAAGAAGCAGGGGCTGAGTCTAAATGAGATGGTGACTCTGCAGTTGTTACTACACAATCATTTAGTACTTGTATACACAAGTACTAAATGACTTTACAGTAATCGGAGTTACTGTGCAGTAGCATTGCTAAATGGCTTTTAGGTGATGCTGACTGCGCAGTAGCTCATTACTACTGCACAGTAGCATTGTATCATGCTTTGTGCCATGTGATGCTACTGCGCAGTAGTAACAAGCTACTGCGCAGTCAGCATCTCGTGTAGATGTGGCCAGGGTATACTAGCCAGAGCAAAGCAGCACTCTGACAAGGGGCTGCTCAGCAGTGTCATCAGTAGTGGGTGACCAAGGCACCAGGGCACCTTAGAGCGAGTGCAAGGATGGCAGCCATTGCTGCTGTCAGCTTAGCTGCTGCAGTTGGCCTGGCTCCCACAGCTATCAAAGCTATTCTGGCCCCTGCCATTGCTGCTGACCAGGGGGTTGAGCCTGGCTGTCACACCTCTGGTTATATTAAGCACAATACCTGAACGAGCTTGTTCAGAGTTAGCTGATGAATGTCTTCCCAGTGCTGCTTTGCCTTGCATAAACATGGCCTTAGAGACCAGGTACCCATGGTGCCATACACTGTACAAACACTTAACAAGAGAGACATTCCTGTCTCAAAGAGCTTGAACACTTAGCAAAGACAGAATCACCCTCAGAATAGCCAGTTCAAACCCAGACATAGTAGGGCTTACAGAAATGTGGTGGGATTCATCCCACGACTGGGCAGTAAGCATTATAGGCTCTACAGGCGGGATAGAGAAGGAAGGAAGGGAGGGGGTGTGGCGCTCTATGTCAAAGAGCAATACACATCTTCTGCCAGCACAATGGGGTCAGATGAGGGGCATAGATCTGGGTCAAGATACAAGGGGGTTGTGGGGAGAAAGATTCACAGAAGGAACTGGCTATCACTTCAGCTTGCCCCACCTCTGACCCCATTTTGCTGGCAGAAGATGTGTATTGCTCTTTGAAA